AAATTATGTAGCAAAATTTTATTAAAAATTATTGCCAAAAAAAGTTGCCGAGCGAAATTTCGACCAACATGCCGGATAAGTCCAGCCATAAGTTAGTCAGTAAGGTATTGGATATTGAAAGAAGTTAATGACCTTGTGGTGATTTTAACTTTTAAAATGTACTGACAGTTGTGTCAGTTTGGTGCAGTGAGGTGAGGGTTGTTTTCGTTGAAACTTCATGTCTGGACCGTTTGGAAATTGAGTTTGGTTTCGCCGAAGTTAACGTATCATAACCAAAGTCAAGGTCTTTCAAAATTTGACCTTCAAAAACCGATTAGATACACGGAAATCCCAGCTAGCATTTTTTCGAGAGCATTGCAGAAAGTGTGACAGCGATCTGCAGTCTACTCCAGTGATTATTCAGTGTGCCTTAAGTTCTCGCCAAACATTCTGCAATGAGCCCGGAGTCGATGCTGGCTGTGATGCCATGGATTGCCATTCCAAATGAAAGCATGACTGCCTCTTTGAAGTCAAGTACAGCATTCTGCTAATTCACCGAGCACTTTTTCTGCAAATCTACACAGTTATTTAGGGCTATAGCTTGTAATCTCAAGGCCAAGCTAATTTTTAAGAACCACTAACTTCCAATGGAGTGCTAGCGCACCAGTGACTTTAAAACGCCGACTGTGCAAATTGGTGAAACCTGACAGATAATGTTGTCATATGACAACGCTGATGATATCACCAATGTTATTGATGATTATATATATCATCAATGAAGTATGCGCATCTAAGTGTTAGGTTATTAAATGGGATATCTGGCAAGTTTCAGCATAGATTTGCGAAAGATTACGCCCAATTTAAGGACAAGTTAGTATTAGGTTAGCCTGATAAGGGCGACATTAGAGTCGGTTCACGTTAGCTCACAGTTAGTTTAGGGATAATTTCAGGTTAGTGTCAGGTTCAGTGAAGATTACAGTTATTGTTACGGTTAGAAGACTTGAATAATTACATGCATAGAATATGGTTAATTTACTCTTCAGTTATAAATCCATGAATAAAAGAGTACATATAGCCATTATCATGCCTTTATTATCCATTTCTCCACCCAGTTTATTTCACCCCATTGGTACCCTTAAATTTTGTCAACCTTTATAATTTTATACTAAGCCTACCAATTCCGTAACATCTTATTACAATTAAGCCTATTTTATCATTAGACATTATCAGTCAGCCCTCACATTCAGTGTCCCCTTTGTTATTGTGTCTTTGTATGTATTTTGTGGTCATCGCATTTCTCTCGCCCCAATGACACTTGTATTCCGTTGACTATAAAACAGCACTTTATCACCCAATTGTTCATTGACACTTCACCACATTTTTTCTGACTATATACCCTATACAAATTTGATTGACTATGTTAACTAATGGACTATCATCTCAACTTACACATGCACCCCAATACAGTTTCTGATATTCATTTGCCTTTATTGGGTATATGTCCTCTATTATTCATGGGTTTATAACTGTAGATCCTGAAGAAGAAGTTATCGGAAACAATTGTTCGCACAAATTCTTGGTTTGATTTCAACATGGGGATTTTTTATTTACCTAAATTACTGTGTTGAATTAAGAATAGCACACAAATATGTTTGAGATTCCGAGATAGTTTCGCTAGATGCTAAGGTAATTATTCGATTGTGCAGTAATGACATGGTTCAATGCATATTTTGATGAGTTTTTCATTCTCAGTAGCTAAGCGTTATATAGGGGCACATTGCAGAATGATAGGGGCACAAGCATGAACGGTCATTGGCTAGAAATCAACCAACGGGAGTAACTCATATGTCCTTCCTCAACCAGTGACACCTAACTTTTGGGGCAGATTTCGGGCCCATTGCAGAATGTTTGGGGCAAGCTTAGGGGCCTTGTCCCACGTTAGTCTGTGCGATCGAAAAAAATGCTAGCTGGATTAGACGGCTACGAAAGTCTGTGTAAATGTAGTTGGTAGTATAAACTAGTAACTATTCAGTTGTCTTCAAAGTAGTTTCTGTTGAATTAGACCGGGAAATATTTGCCCCAAACATTAAATGGTCAAGTGTATTCATTATCTTTGGAGGCTTTGGTACTTCTTTAAGGCTGTCACTATGAAAATGGGATGTATTATTGGATATTAGTTCAAGTTGCACATAAATTAGCAAACACAAACGAAAGTGAAGAATTCACAATCTAATGGACAGCTGTAAAACACTAAGACAAAGACAATTACACGGAATATTACAAGTAATATTAAAATAAGTTATGTGTCTTAATGGCACTGTACCACTGAGCTGTGCAAACTGTCTCTAATAGGTGCACATAGTCACGTATATCAGAAGGACATTATACTCCTTCACAATCCTATACAAGCATGTCCTTAACAAAATTGCTTAGAAATAGGGGAAGAGTACGTCATAAATAAGCACCACTCTGTTTAACCGATAGGTCCTCGCTAGACCTTAATAAGTCCACTAGTCTGTGTACATAGAATTTTCATCAAAAAATGTACGTGATGACTAACCCTATCGATAAACTCAAGGTACATTCATGTCAAGATATAGCTAGCATCCTCTGTTGGTGTACATCTGTGCATCATGATATGACCGCTGTTGAACATATAGTAGTTCACCCGTGCTTAGTTGTGAAAACCACCTGGTTGATTTAGTGTTACCAATTATAGTCTTCAGTTTGATTGGTTTCTTTATGGTCTCTGTAATTCTAGGTACTGAAGCAGTTAGGCTTATTCTCTTGTGGTTATTACGAGATAGTTGTTTTTCCCAGTAAATAATTCCCTCACTTGCTTTTGCTTATAAGCGTATCTTGCGTACCTATCGACACCCTTCATCTTCCAAATGCTTAATATGGATAAATTGATTGAAGTCATTTAGATTAGGTCCTATCTGAATTATGCACACCTGATATGTATGGTCGGCCTGCTAAATTTGGGCTAACGATATCACATGCTGAAAATTCCATACCTGTACCAAAAAAATATGGTGCGGAATCAAGCTGTAATAAAAAATAAATATATCACCCAAAATGGATATGTACCAAATAACTTATGTAGCTCTTCCTTAAGCACATGTTCAATAACTCTTCAGGCCAAGCTACCCTCCATCTGCAGGTTTTGAGACTCTGAGCATTTTGTGGGTCTGTTTCATCTACTAAAGGGTAGTGTGTCAACATATCACCGTGAGATGGATATCTAGTAGATGTATTATAATTATAGGAATTCTGATCATACACACTCTTATGAAGAAACAAAGAAAATGTTATCCTTCTAGATACTTACTGACTGACTGATTGGTTTCAACATAGGACTTTGCACCGGTGTGCAAGCAGTTCGAGTCGCCACACTTCACTTAGCACACAAAGCAAGAGAAGGAAGTAAAAAGAGATTCAAAACAGAGATAATAAACAGAAATGAGGCAAAAAGAATAGTGATATCGAAGAACAGTAGTTTTATTGGATATTATAAATCACAAGGAGTGGATGCATCTGTGCCACTGAGAACGATTTTGAGCAATATCACCAATCGTCTCCATCCATTGGTTTTTACCGTCCTGAGGACCCCAACTAGTAAGTCTGCACCTTCCCACGTGACTTGAACTAACTGTTGTGGATTTCACTGACGCCACGTTTTGGCTTGACCACCAGTGGCTCTTTTCCAACCTGATCAGTCCTATGTCAGCTAACACTGTCCGTTGAGGAAGGCGATGGCTAGGCAGGCACGCGTAACACATGTCCTAAGTATCTCAATCAGTGCAGCTGCTTCACAACCTCGTCGATTGATTTCCGCTCTTTACCTAGCACTCAACCAAAGTCTAACCTCAATATTGCTCACCCAATTACACCACTTCACACGGGAGATAGAACGCAAGCACCTATGATCAAAGACAGCTAGCTGGCCTTTTCATGTCTTCCATTCTCAATGGCCAGGTGTCACAGCCATAAAGGAGGACGGAGCGGACTGTTGAGCAGTACACACGCCCTCTGGTCGATAGCCAGATATCGTCTACGCCAGAGACGGCGTAAACTGGCATATGCGAAACTAGCCTTCTGTATCCGTGCAGAGACTTAGTCAGCGATCAATCCACTAGTGTTGGGGCTGATGGAACTTCCCAAATAGGTGAAGTGGTCAACGTGCTCTACCACTTCAGACTCCCTATTTCTAAGCTGAGTCAATGTAGTCCAGTCCTGTAGCATCATCATGCTTACTACCAGTAGTATTGTGTAAAAAGGCATTATTACAGTTTCATTAAGTTTTGTTTTGGATTTGCTTATGCTGATGATAGCGATTTGGTTTCAACATCTTAAGTGGGTTTTTTTCAATGTATCAGTAAACAGAACTGGTCGGTCAAACCGCTTTAGGAATATGGAGAATACGAACATAAGTCAGAGCTTAATTAATGATTTAGTAGAGAAATATAAAGAAAATGAAAACTAAATTTATAACAAGCTCCTTGTAAACTGAAAGATATGGAAGCCTTTTCTAGTGAAAACAGTTCAGAGATAGTTCCTTGGGGTCAGGCGCTAAGTGACAGGAATATCATTGGCAAGGTAAAGAGTTTTGGACTTGAAAACGACTGAGGCAGAAAATCTGTATATTTGGACTTAGTTATCGGGAACAGGTCTTTTTATATACTACAATGAAGGCCAAAAGTGGTCAAAATTTGTGATCTCGGAACATCACTTACCTTCAGGTGTAAACAAGGACTGAGTAAACTACTGCGCAGTCTGTACGCATTTTTGATGGGTGTTCAGATGACGTAGGTCAGGAAAATAGCAGCCAGTCCATTAAAGCTGATGCGATTTACTAAGTAAAAGAAATGACTGACATTCAACAACCATAAATAAACTCTTGTAAAGCTACAGAAGTACTAATACAATGCCTTATTTACTGTAAGCTAATTAAATCAGTCTGTATGTAACTGTTTTTGCCTTAAGGTTCAATGATTCGCTCTTATATCTCTCGTTTCTCGATGAGAAGTGCAGTATGCTGTTTTGCCTTCAGTTTCATCAGTGACCTTTCAGGGGACTAATTCACAGTTCGCCAAACGCTGTTCGGATGTCAGTACATTTCGGGAAATCCTTTCTAAATCTCATAATGTGATGGTTTTGACTGGTGCAGGGATAAGTGCTGAAAGCCATGTCCCAACTTTCCGAGGATCTGGTGGATTGTGGAGGGACTTTTCTGCCCAGGTAACTTGTTTCTGAATGATAAATAGGATCAATAAATTGAAAGAATCTTGCAACTCCTGGCGCTTTTCGGTCAGATCCTGGGCTAGTATGGGAATTTTATCATTATCGGCGCGAATTGGTTCGTACTAGGCAGCCTAATGCCGGACACTTTGCTCTTGCTTATGCTGAGAAGCAGTACACTGAATGTGGCCGATCATTTCGTGTGATTACACAAAATATTGATGGTCTGCATACAAAAGCCGGAAGTCACAACGTATTAGAGATACATGGTATGTCCAAGTACATTTTTTATTTCAGTTTTGCGTTAGTTATTATTGTTTAAACTTGATATGGGTTTCTTCTGTGAATACATCGTAAAGTGAAAAAGTATTGTTGATTGAATAACTTTTTGAACATAACTTACAGATTGGCAATAAACTTGTTGGAAAACGTCTCTGTGCTGAATATCTTGACTTTGATGACAGTTTACATTTCATAATAATGTGACAATTAATTTCACAACGTCTGTGATTCTAATTTTGTGGATATCTATTTAGTTGTGTGATACACCTAACAAGTGAATTGACACCAAATTGGATTCTACGATTGCATCAGAGTTCTGCTTTTATATTATCTACCGAACTAACTGACAGATAACTGCTACCTTGACGTAGTGTTCTGGCTCGCACATTGCAATGACCCAATCCACTACACTGACCAGAAATAATGTTCCTGCAGGTTATACCTTGCCAGAAACGTCGTTTGGATAGCAGTTAAACTAAAAGCAGGTACCATCATAGTGTAGATAGACACTGTTGGGGGATGGGGTTGAAGACGAAGTCGTACCGCTGGCGAATAGGGATGTAACAGCGGTAAGGTATTCCCCCTCAAACGACAAACAACTCAGCTATGCTGCCTTTCCTCTCTTGGGAGGTAGGTTAAAAAGTTGGCCCCGAAAGTTGTGCATCCTGTGTATCTGTGTTAATCAGATAAATAAGTACTAGTTTCTGTCTTTCCAACTAACTACATTTGACTGTAGTGTTGTTAAGATATCCCAACGTATATTTTGATTGCAATATGGTCAAAATATGCATCAGAATAACTGAGGGTTTCTCTAGATCACTGACTCTGGTAGCGTCAACCTTTTTGTGTACAAGCTAAATTTTCGTTCTCCTTCGCCTTGAGCTATCCTGATGAGATACTGTTGACCTATATACTTGACTTCGTTGAACAGTATGCGAAATATCACACTCAGATAACACCTCTACAAGCTAAAATATGTTATAAATTCATGATTAAGTGACATAATTTGAAAAGTATAATTTCATGTTCAGATTATTGTAAATTATGTACGCGGGACCTATGGAGGAATGTCATGTAGTTGATATTGTTTTTGGAAACTCTTTGATTTTAATTGTGACTAAGTCTTCACAATTCTTGTTTACGTGTTTGAATCATTCTCTCTGATCTACAGGAAATCTTTATAAAACACGATGTTTGGAATGTAATGATGTCCGGGAGAACCGTGACAGCCCAATATGCCCAGCATTATTAGGTCGTGGGTAAGTTAACCGACTATTGATTAATTATCTGTTGTGTTTTATTCTGTGTACATATAGAATAAGTGATTTTCTTTTGTGAATTCAGATGACGGTAACCTGTGTACTACGAAGAGGGACCACTAAGTCATACATTTTTAGTTGCATCACACTGTTCTGTCTCATATTATTCTGTCTATTTCTTAGACTGCTTTGTCATTTGAATTCACACCTAAGACTTTTATTGAACTAGACAGTTAAGTAGACAAATCCGATAGAAATCTTTTTTCCTTCACGTTCTCCAGTGGAACATAGGGCTTCAAGTTAGTGGCTTGAAGGTTCTGTAGCAGTGTTTATTTTACAGGATGGGGTTGCTAGCCTCATGCTCAACCTTTCCTCTTCACCAGCATTATTTCTGGCTCAGCGAGGTAAAGGGGTTCGTCGGCCGGGGATCGAACCCCGGACCATATGCATGGTAGGCGGGCGTCCTAACCTCTATGCCACCGACGCACAATCCGATAGAAATAATAATTCCCAATCCTGCATACATACAAAGTGCACACTGTCACTTTTATTTCACCACAAGAGGTGTAGAACCATAGTATGGAGACCTATGATACTAAGTAGCTGAGGAAATCTTGATAGCTGAAAAAGACTCTGTACTTGTGATTGGAAGTTGCTTGTATGCACTTATTTTATAGTAGGAACAATGAACCAATAAAATTTCAATGATAGCAGTAAACGTAATGGGTATATGATTTCAGGGTAGTGAGATATTAAAGACTCTGCTAGTGCTATTGCGTTTATTTGTGAGTTATTCACCCGAATTCTACTGTTATCTATTACAACTGAAACCCAAAGTGAAAGCTGAAAGTCTCATATTTTTCTACAGGGTATCATTTTTTAAGTGCTCTTAATTAATACTTCAATTAATACATCAATAATTTTCTTATTCACAACCAACATATTATGATATAATTTTAGTTCTGTTCAAGGAGGTTATACTTCTAGTTATAATAAGAATAACAACGACGATATACTTCCTGAGTTTAAGTTGTATCTTAGATTTGGTGGTTCCTTCCATTCGTTTGAAAAAGATACCTCTAAGTAAATATGCATAGTCGTATGAAAGACAATGGTGATATTCTTTGGTGGATTTAGAATATACGGATAAGATTATCTTGTCGGTTGAAAATGGTTATAAAATTCAGATTGGTTAGTGAATTTAGAATGTCTGTGCGTCGGTAGCACAGTGGTTAGGACTCTCGCCGACCATGCACATGGTCCGGGGTTCGATCCCCTGCCGACGCACACCCGATATCTATGGTCGGCCTGCAAAATTTGGGCTACCGATATCCATGCTGAAAATGCCATACTTGTACTGAAAATACGGTGTGGCCTCAAGCTGTAATCAAAAATAAAAAAAAAAATAAAATGTATTTCTAACTTGTCAAGAGTAGACTGTAACTTCAAGGTTGATTTTCATTCACGTGTGGAGGTGGAGAGAGAAGTAAAATTCACTGAATACAAAAGACCCTTAACTTTTAACTACCCTTGTGTTGTAGAATTTTGACACAAGACATCTAGAAGTCAAGTGTGGAGATCGACATGAAGGTGTTTAGTTGGTTGATGAAGCCGTGAACCTCCATGATAGTTACTCACAATATGTTTATGCTCACCAGATAACAAAATCCTTCGATGCGCGATTTTGCTTGAACTAGGGTTAAAGTATGAAAAAAATTAAGATAGTTCCATTTAGATATGACGGCCATCTGTAGGGTCTTTGACCCTTTTTTTCTTAAGTCCATTTCTCGGTTGAGATCAACAATACAAGAGAAGTTAGTGTTTGAAGACCTTGTGTTACACAAATGAAGAAGAAGTTATAGTAACACAGCTGAATTTATAAGTTCCATTCATCTGGCATATTATTGCTGCCTACTCCCTTATCCCTATGTGTCTTATCTTCCATGCTGCTTACGCGTATATTTATTCCGTTTTCTGTACTTTTATGTAAGCTTTTTCAAAGTGCGGCAGATTAAACTACTAATTTGTTGATATTTTTTTCTATCATATACACTTCGTTGCATTAAACATCTACTTACTACAGTTTCTGGCAGCGATTACTCAGGATTGTTTCACTTGTACCTGTTATATACACCTTGTTTTGCCTAAATTTGCCTGAAACCTTAAAGCAACTATTTTAAGGAGTTATCGTGCACTGGCGTAAACCCTTTGTTTTCCCCTCTGTTTTGAGTGCTGGATTCCTATTGGCTGTTAATTCTTTTAGTCCATCAATGAGTTACTGCATTTTTTAAAATCATTCCAGAGGTATGTATACAGTTTCTCTTTCGCATTTTGACTGTAGTTTGAGACAGTAAAAGTTCTCTTATCGACGTCCTGTCTTTTCTTTTGTCTTTGCGTACCGGCGGTGTTATTGTTGTTGTTTGTTGTTGACGAGCTATCAGGACAGATCAGCCAGCGCATTAAGTTAGTACTCGCTCATAGTCTACTAGGTCGTAGTTTTAGTCATAACATTACCAACATAATACTTCTCCTTTGCCTCAATGAATTAGTACTTATAACTTTGGAAACTTCATCCAAATTTTAGTCACTAATGGACAGTGTCAATTAATTTTCGAATGTTGGATTGGATTCTCTAATCGATATCGCTTGGTACTTAAAATCTATGAAATCTCCTTAAAGTGAATATTGTAATGGAATTTGGTATGTTAGTTGTTGTATTTGTCCGGTTCAAGACTTTTACTAGGATGATTTGCAACTCTTAAATGACAAAGCACACAGCCTCGTAACCGAATTCGTTTTCGTTAGCTACACTTATTATGGTGTGGGTGGAAAAAATAATGGGACTTTTTAAGTCATTATAAGCATCATTTTATGATCTGTTGACCAGTATGTGATTACTTTAAATGTTAAGTCACAGGTTCATTGATCTCTTTTCACCTGTATTCCTTTCATTTAGATTAAAATTCCACTGACATTTCACATTTTCCTCAAATTTATCTTTCATCTTTAGTTCACCAAAAGTTGAAGTACAAGAATACAAACCAATCCCAGCATCACAGTTACCACGCTGTCAAAATATGGTTGGCGAGAAAACATGTGGTGGTTTGTTAAGACCTCATGTTGTTTGGTTTGGTGAAAATCTTGACCCTGATATTCTTTCTAAAGTTGATGAAATTATGTCAAATACTGATGTTTGTCTGGTTGTCGGTACCAGTGCTGTTGTATATCCAGCTGCAAGTTTTGCTCCATCTCTAGCTCGTAGAGGTGTTCCTGTCGCTGAAATCAACATAGAAGTTACCCCATCAACGGATTCATTACAGTTAGTCTCTTATTTAAATTTGTTTTCTATATGTATATGCGAATTTCCTGGAATTATATTATCCACTATGTTTTATATTTATGTGTAGTGTTTATTTTTTTTTGTATTATCGACGATAGTTTTACTAAATCATTCAGTTATTCTATATTATTTTAAAAGTTTACTTCATCTCAACTCAATCGTTGATGAACAGGTGAGCGTTCATTGTAGGTTCATAATTATAAAAGCTGTTTTTCATGTGGTTGTGTTCTCTACGCTCGATAGTTAATTCGCAAAGCTTTCATTGCCCTACTAGGCAACATCTTCAGCGCATACTTCAATTAAAAGTGACTTTTTAGATTCTTTTTAATGATCATAATAATAATAATAATTTTGCCTTATTCCAGAAACAGTACTAGTGTTACAGTGTGGAATTTTCAGCACATATCTACAATATTGCATCTAATTTTATCAAACATTTAAAGGAGTATTTCAAAAAATAAATATAAAAACAACGACAACAACAAAAACAAAAGAAAAAACACAAAAATAATAAAAGAATGCGAAACAAATACCAAGAAGTAGAAAGGAAAATAAACAACATAATATATAATATCTCAGTATTGGGTAGTGGAAGCTATAATATGTTTATGCGTGGTGACAGTAAAGATATAATCATACAAGAAGTTATGAAATGATGTTTAAGAATGTTTATCGCCAAGATGATCAGTTAATTTGATTGAACAACACTAAACAATCATAAAATAACGTTTTCAGGGGTTTTTATTGTCAGCTCTAATGCGGTGTTTGTAGTGGTAGTGTGAGTAATCCAGCACAATACAAAATTTTAAGATGGTGATAATAGCGTTCACGACCAAGATTGTCAGTTCATATTGCCGAACGGAAAACAAAAACAACCACAAAACTAATATTACATGATGGTTAATGACAGGACAATTTTGTAATACTCATAGTGCTAATATAGTCGGAACCAGTAGAAACACAAAAGAAGGAATAGAATAAAGTACAAAAAAGTAAGCCAATGTTAATAATTCAGTTAGCTGAGTATGTTAAGAAGGTGTTCACTGTAGAAATAAAAATAAGAGGGAAATAAAAGAGCCTAAAATTATGTTATTAACAACAAAGCAAGTCATAGGTTTCGCGCTTAACATTGTCTCTGTATCGTTGAGTTCCTGTACTTGGTTGTACGAGCATATATTATTTTATACTGATTTCTGGTTCTACCTGATGAGATACAAGGAGAGAGTTGGGAATAGAGGGGGTGTTGGGGGTCGGAGAGTATGGTTGTAGACCATTTTTCGTATGTATTCAGATGCCTTTCTACTGACTGAGTTTTACACCACTAGTCCTACTAACTACCTTCAACATCCTTCTCAGGATGGTATAGTCCTTTTCCAGTAGCCCAGGAAAGACTAATGGGGAGCAGTAAAGTAGAATAGGTAAGATACGAGAGTTGACAAATTGTGAAAGTAGAGGTTGGATGATTCCAGATAGTCTAAGTTTCTTAATGTAGTAGGTTAGACGGAACACTTTCTTAGAAATCGTTAGGATATGAGATGACCAAGTAAGGTCGGGAGATACAACTAGACCGAAGTATTTTGCATTAGACTTAGTTTCAATTTTAGTCCCCTCAATGCTACAGGCTTCATGAGTACTTACTAGTGTTTGCAGATCTCGTTTATGCCTGAAGGAGAAGTCAATAGTCTGGCATTTTGAGGGATTCAGCATGATGCCACTTAGTTTAGACCACTGACTGATGTCCGACAGGAAGCTATTTAATTTGAAACAGTCTGACTGAGACTTAACGGGAAGTGAAACAGTCAGGTCATCTGCATATTTGACGAAATTGATTTCGTCTGAAAGAGGTAAGTCATGTAAGAAGAAGGAAAAGAGAAACGGAGAGAGAACAGCACCCTGAGGAACTCCAGCTTCAGTAAGCAAAGGAGAGGAAGATACACAATTATGTACCGTGTACTGCATCCTATTAAAGAAGTAAGAGTGCAGCCAGTTGATAGCCCAGGACTCAGTTTGTGTAAGACTAGGCTTGTTTAACAAAAGGCCTCTAGGTACAGAGTCGAAAGCAGGTGTATAATCAAGGAACGTACAACGGACATTCTTGGCCCCTTTGTCTAAGGAGGATACAATGTTGTGATGAAACACAGCAGCAGCGTCTAAAGTACTTCTACTCTGCTTGTAAGCAAACTGCTTTGGACCATTTGAGAAGCTTAGGGAGGGAACAAGTTTTAGCAACAATAATTTCTCCATTAGTTTCAAAAAAGGAGAAGTAATAGCAATAGGTCCAAACTTAACACTATTTCCAGAACCTGATTTGGATACAGGGATGATTTTAATATCTTTCCACAGAGAAGGTACAACATTATTGGAGAAAGAAGTATTGAAAATGTTTGTAAGTGGGTTACTTAAAATATCAGCACATTTCCCTAGGACAGTGGCAGGTATGCCATCAGGGCCTAGACTCTGGGAAGGTTTAAGAGATTTTAAACATTTAAGGACATCAGAAGTATTACAACTATGAAAGTCACTGGTCATGTTGTTTGTTACATTGAAGCTAAAAGGGACATTAGGAGAGTGGATAAAAGATCTATTAAGAGTATTTACATCAATAGAAGGGGCACAAATACTATGCTTACCACAACCTGTAATTTCTCTGAAAAGCTTCCACATGTTTCCTGGAGTTTTACATGACAAAATCCTTTGATTATAAATATTGTTTGGCCGCTTGATTTCGGATTTAATTTGGATGTTTATCCTCCTAAGACCAGATTTATCCTAAGTCTTGTACAGTCTCTCTTTTTCTCTTCGAAGCTTTTTGAGATGAGGGGAAGAGAAACGGTCCATTCTTTTGAAAAGTATCTGCTTTGGACAGCATACATCAAGGCAGAATTTAAGATAGTCAGTCAGATTGGAAATAGTATCATCCAGTGTGTGTTCGGTGAAAAGTCCCCAATTTGTGTCACTTAACATACATCTTAGTTTGAGCACATTTTCTTGTGAGTAACATCTTTGTTGTGTTTTTCTGGACAGATTTGAGAGGATATTGGAGTGAGATCTGCTATATATCTTAGGTAATATCCGAATAATACAATGATCAGAGTTCATTATAGGAGCACGTCTGTGTGCTTCATATATTTCCGCATCATTAATAAATACTAGATCCAGTGTTTTATCAAGTCGAGTTGGAAATTTAACAATATTGACATGACCTAATGATTCAAGAAAAGAACAATTGTAGGTATTGAAATCTCCTATGACAAATGATAAAGAGTTTTCGAGATGTGTAACAGCGAATGCAGTGAATTCATCGGCAAAATCAGATAGATCCGAGGCGGAACAGCCAGGAGTAACATAAATGTTTGAGATGAAGACGTATTGAAACTTGGATAAGTGTTTCGGACGACATTTGACTGTTATACAATCAATAAAGTCACTAGAGAAGGAGAAACATAGATTATTTGAAGTTGACCACTGAGAATGAATGAAGGTTGCAACACCACCTCTTTTCTTTCTAGAGCATATTTGATCTTGTCTAAACAATGTAAAACCTTTAAGAGAGACCAGGTTGTCGTTATAAAGTTCATGGAGCCATGTTTCTTGTAATGCAACTATCGCCGTATTGTGATAAGTATCAGATGATCAGATTTTTGCGGCCTGTTTGATACCTGGGCTACCTTTCCGTACTGTAATGACATAAAAACTAGCATGATATCACTAAATGAGTTTCCTCTTTTTCAGAAAGGAACGCTGGCGTGGCCGTGCTAGAGCAGGAAGAAGACCGTTTGTCAAAACTTGTTATAAATGACGATAACTAACTTTGTACCCGGGCAATTCGAGTCTTGCGTGGTGGAAATAAAGACCTTTTCTCTCGCATCTTCGTCTTCTTCCTCCGTTGGTTGTGCCTGTTGCTTTTGAGTGTTACAATTGGTGTCGGAGGTGTCTTAAACTCAATCTCCATATGAAATCAGATTCTGCCGACCCTCCTGAAATCACTTCCAACCAAAAAGTCAACCCACACTTCCCAGCCACAGAACACGTCCTACAGGTGCGAGGATTACCGAAGTTGGACATAAACAGGGATTATGAAATGTGGAAAATTCGAATGGAGTCCCGTTCAGTGGATCTTTCCCCACACGCACAATATACTTAGAGGGGCTGGAAGTTTTGGCGAAACATTCATCTAGGAGATGCCAGTTGTAGCTGATTGACTTGAGTGCGGAGAAACCTCCAGAGATGGCACGACGTAGTGCGGCGTCACTCATTGCCAGCGTTGCCGCACTACGTCGTGCCATCTCTGGAGGTTTCTCCGCACTCAAGTCAATCAGCTACAACTGGCATCTCCTAGATGAATGTTTCGCCAAAACTTCCAGCCCCTCTAAGTATATTGTGCGTGTGGGGAAAGATCCACTGAACGGGACTCCATTCGAATTTTCCACATTTCATAATCCCTGTTTATGTCCAACTTCGGTAATCCTCGCACCTGTAGGACGTGTTCTGTGGCTGGGAAGTGTGGGTTGACTTTTTGGTTGGAAGTGATTTCAGGAGGGTCGGCAGAATCTGATTTCATATGGAGATTGAGTTTAAGACACCTCCGACACCAATTGTAACACTCAAAAGCAACAGGCACAACCAACGGAGGAAGAAGACGAAGATGCGAGAGAAAAGGTCTTTATTTCCACCACGCAAGACTCGAATTGCCCGGGTACAAAGTTAGTTATCGTCATTTATAACAAGTTTTGACAAACGGTCTTCTTCCTGCTCTAGCACGGCCACGCCAGCGTTCCTTTCTGAAAAAGAGGAAACTCATTTAGTGATATCATGCTAGTTTTTATGTCATTACAGTACGGAAAGGTAGCCCAGGTATCAAACAGGCCGCAAAAATCTGATCATCTGATACTTATCACAATACGGCGATAGTTGCATTACAAGAAACATGGCTCCATGAACTTTATAACGACAACCTGGTCTCTCTTAAAGGTTTTACATTGTTTAGACAAGATCAAATATGCTCTAGAAAGAAAAGAGGTGGTGTTGCAACCTTCATTCATTCTCAGTGGTCAACTTCAAATAATCTATGTTTCTCCTTCTCTAGTGACTTTATTGATTGTATAACAGTCAAATGTCGTCCGAAACACTTATCCAAGTTTCAATACGTCTTCATCTCAAACATTTATGTTACTCCTGGCTGTTCCGCCTCGGATCTATCTGATTTTGCCGATGAATTCACTGCATTCGCTGTTACACATCTCGAAAACTCTTTATCATTTGTCATAGGAGATTTCAATACCTACAATTGTTCTTTTCTTGAATCATTAGGTCATGTCAATATTGTTAAATTTCCAACTCGACTTGATAAAACACTGGATCTAGTATTTATTAATGATGCGGAAATATATGAAGCACGCAGACGTGCTCCTATAATGAACTCTGATCATTGTATTATTCGGATATTACCTAAGATATATAGCAGATCTCACTCCAATATCCTCTCAAATCTGTCCAGAAAAACACAACAAAGATGTTACTCACAAGAAAATGTGCTCAAACTAAGATGTATGTTAAGTGACACAAATTGGGGACTTTTCACCGAACACACACTGGATGATACTATTTCCAATCTGACTGACTATCTTAAATTCTGCCTTGATGTATGCTGTCCAAAGCAGATACTTTTCAAAAGAATGGACCGTTTCTCTTCCCCTCATCTCAAAAAGCTTTGAAGAGAAAAAGAGAGACTGTACAAGACTTAGGATAAATCTGGTCTTAGGAGGATAAACACCCAAATTAAATCCGAAATCAAGCGGCCAAACAATATTTATAATCAAAGGATTTTGTCATGTAAAACTCCAGGAAACATGTGGAAGC